TGGCTTCTTAACAATTCCAGGTATTTCTTTCCCCCTGGGCTTCTGAGAGATAACTGGAGATATAAAGGCGTTGGCGCCTTCTTTTCCCCCTTAGTCTCACTCTTGGGAGAAACTTCTTATTCTTTTGCTCCCCAGAGGGTTTTCTAGGTCTAAAATAGTGACAGCCCTCTTTGTTGATGATATCCTTTCCTGAGAAGTCTTTGTGCTGGTCCTTGGGATACGACGCAACCCTTGGTATAAACCCCAAAGGTGCAGCCCATGCCTTTGGGAAGTTCATGATTCATTGGGGTGTGATATAAGTTCAAGTGGGGCACACTCATGACCACAAACAGTACGCTCACATATAAAGTCACTTGTAAGTATCTTAAAATGTCACTCTGTCAGAAACACAGAGGTGCTGATCGCTGAACTGCCCTTGATCATGAGATCTTGAGGACTTTCTAGAAATGACCATTAATCTTGGTCCTATGTGAAAAATTTGATTAAAAAATTGGCCTTTAATTAGCCAGATTTTCTTTTGCCCTTATCTTTGTATAGACTTAAGGAAAAGAAAGCTATTCTCCTTTCAAACACTTGGGAAAAAAAAGTAAATCAAACCCAGCCACATGAAGAAGCGGCTGCTCTCCCTGGGTCACAACAACACCTCTACAGGTGTGCCCTTGACTTCTATTAAGAACGACCAGCGAAACAAGTGAAATCCCCAGCTGTAACTTTGCACCGCAGCATCTTTTATCAAGAAAGGGACTGCGTCTAGATGAATCAGAGTATGCTGGCTGGTGGAGCTCAGACACAATCATGTGGTTTTTCAGGAGAAATAAACGTGGCCGTGTTTATTTCACACACATTTGTTTGTCAGAGGACTTCAAAGCAGTGGGCAGAGATCAGTTAAGCATGGCCACCTGTCCCAATGGCTGCACCTCGTCTTTTCAGGTGGGACCCGGAGATCATTAGCACTGAGGCAGCTCATGCTCGGTTCAGCTCCTGTGCCACAAGGTAGGACAGGAATCCTGCCAGGAGGAGGACTTGGGTCCTGGCTCCTAACCACCCCTGTTGGATTTCAGCCGGCAGCACTGCCCAAAGAAGATAGCAAACTGAAGGAATCTTCCCGCCCATGCGAGTGGCAGGTTAAAACCTATAGGACTGTTCAATCAAAGGCATTGCCTCGCTCTGTCCTGAGCTGCTGTTGTGCGCTGGGACACATGCTGCTAGGAGACAAAGAGGACACGTGTTTATTTTCAAGCGCAGGACTTTGGAACCACTTGGGAAGAATATTCTTGATTGAGAACCAAAACACTCCATGATGCTTAACCAACCTGCAAAGTGAAAAATCAGCATCGGCCCATGCAGCCGGAAGGCAGGAGGAAGGACCTATACCTTGAAAAAAATTTTTTTTTCAAAATATCCCTTAAATGATATTTGTGTGCATTTGCAAAATTACCCCTTTCTGAATCAAAGTCTCAAGCTGTTTGCATCTGAGAACATATGTTGTGCCGCTAGACAGCCTCTCAGCCCGCCACAGCCCCTGATATCCCCCGCCGCATTGAATAAGGGCCAGTTCCCGGAAAGAAGGTGCCGCCGCTCAGTCAATGCCCTGTAATAATATTTTAAAATAAATGATATGCATCATTAAATCACCAAGGATGACTAACTCAATTTTAGAAAACCCACAACTCCAGCAATCATAGTTACAGCTCTGATTTGAATATTTTCACTTTCACCTGAACAGCCAGTGGGAGCCAGTGAAGCAGATTCGCATCCGGGCTGTAGTCTCAGAGGAGCAGGAAGGAACCTGTGATTATGTAGTTACAGTAACGTCGGCTAGATGCCTCCCGTCCACCAGGGCTTTTTAGACTTTTCCTTCCTCCCTTCTTGCCTTCTAATTTACATATCACAGGCATCTTCTTTGTAAAGTTATCTTAAATAATTTATTAGATTGATCTTTTTAAAATTCTATCCTGGCTAAATGTCATAAGGAGAGGGGGAAAAAAGTCTTCTAAACTTATTTAAAGGTTCTACTGGAGTAGGCCAGTTACCTGCTTCACTGCTGATGTTCTAAAAATACCTCCATGTCCGTACTATTATCCATTCTTCACGTCCAATTGCTCTGTTATGGTAATAGTCAGAAGCACACCATGCAGTAATTACTTACAGCTGACTGAAGAAAAGAATATTCAACTCCCCCACTGTTCCACGAGAAGGTCTTTATGCTCTATTAACTCATTCCTGTTTATTAATACTCTACTGGTAATTCAGACTGCTGCCTCTTAGGTTTGTAATAGGAGGACTATTAAACAGCAATTACTGACCATATGGGTTGGCGAATATTTGTTGTTTTTTTTTGGTGGGCTTTTCTCCCCCCACCTCCTTCCAACTTGTTTTTTAAGAAGCCATATTACGACATAGTAAAAGTAACATCACATCTGCATGAGATTAACAAGCTTGGCAGTATTTCTCCCTTAGAAAATGTGAATTTATTCCCAGATTATCATGGCTAGCTTAGGAAAAAGAGATCATGGGAGACATAGGAAAATGTGGAAGATTGTTCACATGTGGGAAGACCCCCTACTCTGGACGAGGATTTGGCACTTGTGTTCCCTAAGTCACTCAGCGGGCTGTTTCTTACTGCCTTTGAGAAGGCACTGACCGACCCTCAGGCACACTCTACTCCTGAAAAATAAGCATATTTACTGAGGAATCCAAACCTAATACCATTGTCCATTTTATGTTCCCCCAAGCATTTGGAAGTGGTCACTTTAAAATTTAACATTTAGTCAATTCATCTTCCAAAGAGCAGATACCTGAACGCTGGGAGATGACAAAAGGCTCCTCCTGGGAGAGGGATGACATGAGTAATGGGTTCAAGTGAGGCAGGCAGGTGGTAAACCATGATTATGGTAATAATAACGTGTGTCTCTCTCTCAGGTAGTGAGCACTAAACATGTGGCAAGCGTTAAATACATTTAAGGGGAGATGCGTCTTCGAGATATGTAGGAGACCAGGAGCTGACTTCCATTGGAAGATGCTGGGTTGTGATCCAGAGCAGGTAAGTTATTTGACCAGCAACCTCCACCAAGGCGGAGGCTGGGTACCAGGCTCCCTGACATAGTTGGCTCTCCCTCCAAAGCAGGTGGTCCTCTTAGTGCCCCTTGGGGCTTGTCTTCTAACTTCTTGCCTTTCCCATAAGGGGTGTTTCTCCGCTTGTGTACAAATACTTTTAGCCCTGCAACAAACAGTAACAAACCTCTGAGAACTTCAGCTTGCCCCAATCTCACCCTTTGCAAGCTACCAAGCAAATTTAGCATTTACCTGTGGCAGGTGTTTGTAGCTAATCTAACACTCTTCCTTTGTTACCTGCTGGTGTTGTGTGTGGAAGTTTCTTCTCTCAGATACGCACTAAATCCTTCAATACAAGGACTGTATCTTTTAAACTTTTTTCTCCTTGCACCTAGTTTGGTAATGGATGCTCAGTTGGTGTTAAATAAAGATTGGAAGAATTTAATGGAAATACGTAAAAGAAAAAAGGACATCAGTCCCTAAGTTTTCTTACATAGGGAGATGTAGAAGCTACAGTTTCTGGGGTAAGTTTGGAAAAAAAAAACAGTAACAAAAATAAACAACAACGACAAAATGTCAAATCTCTGCCTCAACACGTAACAGTACTAAGTTAATGGGTAGAACATAATTGAATTGAATTGAATTGAATTACACTTGTTAAGACCCCAGCGCTTTTTCACGATATGTCTAAGCAATAGAGAAAAGTAATTTATTTCATCTATAACCTTTGGATGAATTAGAATCCTCAGTAACTTATGGCCTAGAGGGCCCTCGAGGGGAAGAGGGCTTCTTTCAGTTTCTGTGGTGGGCACTTTCACCAATGCAGACTGACCCCAGGCAGGCTCAGACCTACCTGGTATGATCAGAAAGGCTCCGTGAGGCCCAGCCTGCCCCCAGATATCTCATAGATTGGAGAACATGTGGATTTACAGTGCAGTTTTGTTTTTATTACTATTGTTTTTTAAAGAAGGATTGTGTTTGTGTGGGGGGGGGTTGCTTTGTTTTGTTTTGTTTCGTTTTGTTTTTAATTTGGCCACGCTGCTCAGCTTGTAGGATCCTAATCCCTTGACCAGGGATTGAAGCCGCGCCCTCGGCAGTGAAAGTGCGGAGTCCTAACCACTGGACCGCCAGGGAATTCCCACAGGATTGTTTTTTGATTCAGCATAAGCAGGATACTAATGTAGATTAAAATAGAACAGGTCTGATTGAAGTCAGGTTGGGGACATGTGGATGCCTAACCTGATAATTCAGCTGATAAAACCATAGCAGTCCCTCTGGGAGACCCCAGTGTTCCTGGGAACACTATATGAAAAGCATTTTTCTATTCCAACCCCCTTTTGATACACATGTGTAGACTGAATCAAATCCACATGGTTAGCTAACAACAAACGGCTATGAAATCCAATCTTTTGGTTAATTAGCCAAGTTTGCTTTGTTGTTGTTGTTTTTCGGTATCACCTACCTGTGTTCGTGGATTAAGTCCTTGTCATGAGCAGGCCACTGATAATAGGTACATATGTGTCACTGGAGGACTAGGCCATTGGGCCTCCCTTTAACACAGCTGAGACAAGTTTAAAGTCAGATGAGGGACTTGACTAAGGAGGGATGGCTACTTGAGGGTCTTCAAAGACAAAGCAAATGTGAGGGTGGAGGTGGTTGATTTCAACTTGGCCATTCCTGCGCCTTCAGGGTTGAAGTCTTGGCACTGGCTTCAACTCAGCTTGGCTGTCCCATGTGCGCCTAGTCCTGGATCACAAGTTTACATCAATTTCAGTCCTGCCTGTGTTGAGAGGAGCTGCCACAGGGATTTGCTTAGGGTGCTGGGAATTATGCTTCTCCTACACACAGCATGATATAGGTTATGCTGTAGTCTTTTATAGCATTTTAAAAGTTGGCGGGGAGAGCCAGCCTATTAGTTGGTGCCACCTTAGCAAAGGTAGCGTAGGGTGGGACGGCCACCGGAGATGCCTAACATTGTGTTCTGAAGAGCGGCCAGAGGCACGATGGAGCGGGCCAGGGACCGTTTACACCTGAGATGGACCACAGAACAGCACGTACCAGAGGGAGAAGTCCAAGTCAAACGGAGAAGCACAGCCTCACTGAACAACCAGGAGTGTCACCTGTACCCAAGGCGACCTCAGCAGCAGCAAGTACCTGTGGTGGATTTCCAGGTGGAACTGAGACAGGCATTCTTAGCTGAGACACCAAGAGGTGGTTAAAGCAGTATTGGAACACCCAGGTGGCAGATTCCAAGAGAGAAAAACAAAGAAAAAAACCAGGCTGTATCTACTATTCGAAGCTTCCGCCCCAGCTTGCATTGTTTGTAGGAGAACCTGCGTCATACCTTGATCTGTAGCCTTCCCTTAGGTCTTAAGGATCCTGAAACTTGCCTGTGGACATTGGATTTGGTGGAAAAGCAATCATGACTGTGGGAAAGAGAAGCAAGATGCTGTAGCACATTTACTATAGGATGAGATGTATCTTGCAAGATGACCAGATCTTCATTGGTGCCTTTAAGGCTTTTGACAAGCATATGAACTTGATCCTCTGCGATTGTGATGAGTTCAGGAAGATCAAGCCAAAGAATGCTAAGTAGCCAGAGCATGAAGAAAAGCGGGTTTTGGGTCTGGTGTTGCTGCAGGGGGAGAACTTGGTTTCCATGACTGTGGAGGGACCAACCCCCAGAGATACTGGCATTGCTTGGGTACCACTTGCTGGAGCTGCAGGAGGCCCTGGGGTTGGTAGGGCATCTGGCAGAGGTGTTCCAACTGGTGTTCCAATGCCCCAGGCTCCTGCTGGATTAGCAGGCCTTGTCTGAGGGGTTGGGGGCCCATCCCAACAGGTAATAACCCCACAAGGAAGAGGCACTGTCACAGCTGCTGCAGTTCCTGCTACTGCCAGCATTGATGGAGCCCTAACTCAGTATCCACCAGGCCAGGGGACTGCACCTACACCTGCTGCTCGAGTAACCCTACTTCCAGGAATTATGGCTCCTCCACCTGCTATGAGACCATCCATGGGCCCACCAATTGGGCTTCCTCCTACTCGAGGGACACCAATAGGCATGCCCCTCCATGAATGAGACCCCCTCCCCCAGGAATAAGAGGTCCATCTCCCCCAGGAATGCATCCACCAAGACCCTAGGATACTATTGGTCCTTCTTAGTCACTTTTTTTCCTGCAATGTGTCTTGTGAAATGTGTGGACTGTTTGTGAGCTTTTTGTCCCCTCTGCTGCATTAATATTAGCTAATAAATACATAGATCAATTAAACTGTGAGGTACTGTTCTACAAAAAAAATTGGGGGGTTGTCTATATTGCAGGATGTCCTTTCATTCTTTCACTAATAGAGGCAGCAGGATGTATGTAGAAGAGAATATGGTATGGGGACCCAGGGGATCTGTATTCTAGACCAGATCTTTTCACCAATTAGCTGTGTGTTTGGGGGACATATTATGTAGCCTCTCTGCACCCCCGTGTCCTCATCTGTAAAATAATGCCCTCTGGCTCAGATTTGTTTCTGAAATGCTTTTGGCTTTACTGGGCCATCAGAAAAATCTAATGTTCTCTATCTGGTAACTTTGAGTTAAATTATATTAAAACAAAACAAATCATTATAAGCAGTCACTTTATGAATAAAATGCTTCTATATGCCAAGAATTTTAAATTAGGCTCCATGACAAAAACATTTATTTCTGATATCAGTGAAAACTTGAGATAAGTCAGTAAGGATGGTATTAAGCCTTATAAATATGATCCAACTGTGACTTGGAACTGTGGAACTGTCCCCATGGGTGAGAACATCTGGGCACTCTGCTGGCTTCATTTCAGGCGTTCACTTATCCAATACATGCTTGCTTTGTTTCTTCCATATCTCATTATTCAATTAAAAAACATATATTCAGTTGATACCGTGGATTCATTCAATAAACGTCATTTGATGCATCTTGAAGGAGGAACCTGCTACATATGTAACACTGTTTTCATTGTTAATAATAATAGTATCAATATAAAAGATAAGTTCCCAACTTTGAAGATCTAATAATCTCACTCAGGAGGGAAAATGTATATGGTAAAGAGATAGGTGACTTCATAGGACAGTACATGAATAGGGTCCAAGAGAAGGATACAGGATATAAGGATACAAGTTTTGAAGTGAGGGAGGGGGGTGATGACGTGGGCTAGAGTGTACAGGAAGTGTTCAGGAACGTCTTCCGCTGTTCCTTAACACATAAAATTAGCACAGGTGAAGAGGAGGAAAGAGGCCACTTTAGGGGAAAGGACTGTGCAAAAGCAGCGAATTAGATAAGATTAAGAGATATATGAATTTGCTAAAGATTAAAGATATAAGAATTTGCTAAAGACCTGGATCTTTAGCAGGTGGAAAGAAAGGCTTCTATGAGAGACTAGTGGGGGCAGGGATGGCATAGAATCTTCCATTCTGGGAAGGTATTGAAAGTCGGGCGAAGAATTTTGGCCATTATCTCACAGGCACAGAGGTCCTTCTTTCCTTTTTCTTTATAAGCTGTTTTGCTCAGTGGAAATGTTATTAGTAAAATCACAGAGGAGTCCTAATAGAAAAGGAAAAAAAAAAAAAGACTGTAGAAAAGCCATTTGGGGAGCAGGTGAGAACAAGAGGTTATAAAACACTGGAAAGGCAGTAGAGCTTGGAAGGCCCATGATGGAGGCAGAGACCAGACTGTGTGACCATTTCAGGGGTCAGTTTCTCTTGCTCTGGGTACTGTGGGCTGGAAGGCAGTGCAGGGTACCAAGGAGATGTCTGGAGGAGAATGCTGGAGAAAGAGAGCAGAACAAAAGGAAGAGACCAGGAGAAGACAGATGGAGACAGAGAGTCAGACAAGAGTGAAGGATGAGGGGAACAAAGAGTGTGTGGTCTATGAGGTGGAAGACAAAGGAAATTAATCAAAATGATTATGTGGCAGGTTTGGAGTTCGACTCACAAATTGAGGTGCATAAGAATATGTAACTATTTTACGTAAATTATTCTCCTTTGACTTCAAGCCCCCAATCTGCAGGAGGCAGAAATGTAATCTCAGTCATTTCAGCCTCCTCCCGTCAAATCCCCAAACTTGTCCCTCATTTCTGGGGCCTTCAGTAGTACCCAGAAGACAGAGGTGGCTGGAGCGGGCAGGGCATCTGCCCCTGGTTGGGCATCCGTCCACTGAGCATGTGTCAATCCTGCCACAATCACCAGTCCATGCAGTTCACCGCGGAGGCACACCTCATTCTTACCTAGCAGGCATTCAGGGTCTCCCAGGGCCTTTTCTGGGCCCCTCTCTTTCACTGGAGAATCATGGTGTTTGTGCAATACCGGCGGTGAGGAAGTTCAATAGATTTGCTATCTCCCTGGACAGGTCTTCTTTGCTCTGGGGAAATAAAGTTATCTCAGGATTTCGTCCCCCTGCCCTTCTGGTACCCCCAGAGACCCAACCCCAGAGTAGGACCAACTTGTTTCTAGGTTTTCTTCCCTTCTACTCCAACTTTCCTCCTTCTCCCAAATGCAGGGAACTGTCTGCATTTTTGAGGGCAGATTGCACTCTTATCAAATGCTCCCCTCTTACCTTCCTATCTCTGATGAGGCTGAATCATTTTATACGCAGGAAAGATGACACAGAGTGGTTATATGACTTACTTGAGGTCACACTGCTTGTCAGTGACAAAATGGGTAAAATTGAAAATATGCTAGCTTGACTACCTTTTTCTCCTTCCCCCTTCCCTCTTCCCTTCCTCCCTCCCCCCTCCCTCCCTTCCTTCCTTCCATTCTCCCTCCCTCCCTTCTTTTTTTCCCTCTCTTTTCTCCTCTCTCTCTTCTTTCCTCCCTCTCTTCAAAAGAATTTATTATGTGCCAGACTGTATACAAGTACCAGATATACCATACTGAACAAATTAAACAAATGAAATGGATTGCTTTCATGAGTTGCCAGTCTAGTAGGGGAGATGGACATCAGACACTGCATACACAGACTCGTAATTAAACTGTGGTCAGTACAATGGGCTCTATGAGAAAGTAGTAAGGAGAATCTAATTTAGACTGGACAATCAAGGAAGATCTTTCTGAGGAAGAGACATCTGAACTGAGAACTCAGACAGGGATGAGAGCATTCCAGGTATAGGGAATGGCTTATGCAAAGAGTTGGCATGTTCAAGGAGCTCAAAAACATGCCTGTGACTGAACTATTTGAAAGGGGGAAAATGAAACAAGATGTGGTTGGAGAATGAGAAGGACCAGAGTCTATAGGGCTTTATCAGCAAAGTTAAGAAATTTGGATTTTATTCTAAGCTTAATTGAAAACAAAACTTAAACAGTGAATGACATAATCTGATTAACATTTGAAAAAATGTATTCTGGCTGCTCTGTGGAAAATGGATTGGAGTGAGGAAGAATGGAAAAGAAGAGACCATTTGTGAGTTGGGGGCCCTTTAAGTATTCTTGGGAAAGGTGATGTGGGTTTGGAGCAGGGGTGCGAAAATGGGGAAGGGAAGAAATGGAAGAATCAAGTCGTACTTTGGAAGAATTGACAGATTACTGGATTTGAGATGTTAGTGGGGACATAGCTCCCCAATTTCAGACATGAATTATTATTCCCTCTACTCTAGAAACCCTATTGAACCCCATTAAGATGTAAGTTCGGTTGTTATAATAGAAAACCATGTGAGATAGCCTTTTCTAGAATAGCAGATGTCAGTGCTTCAAGGACGTATGGCACTGAGATGGCTAGATGTTTCTAAGGCATATAAATTAGATAAGTGGATAAATCAGGAATCTGGTATAAGAAGTGTGTTTACAACCCCCAAGCCTATTCTTAGATACTGATTAATAATAAGTTTTTACCAAATAATTCCCAAAATTGTTATTAATATCGATCACCAGACACTTGTAAATTTTCAACCACATTTATGTCTCTCGCCTATATTTGATCCCAATAATAAATAAGGTGGATTTCTTCCCACACAACAGAAATAAATAGGGCCCCAGTAACTTGGTAGGTCATAGGTCAAATGACAGTAACTCATAGGTCAAATGACAATTCAGAGGTGGAGGAATGACTGGACCCTTCATCTTTGTAACAATCACTGAGATCTAGGAAGAGAGAAGAGCTGCCTAACAGTCCTTTAAACATGTTGATTCATTCCAGTCTGGGTTGTTTTCACTGAACACTTAGAAAAACAATCTGTAAACTGGTCCTTGGGCCTTGGTGAGAATTTCTCAAAGGCAGCGAGGCCCACGTTGGGAGCATGTACAGTAAGGGTGAGCATAGCCATCAGTCTTTCACAGTAAGACTGTTTCTCAGCCCAACATCTAGACTCTTATTTGGTCTCCAGTTTGGGGCAGTTTGACACCCTAACAGAAGATAGTTTAGTCACCTTTGTAAATGACTTCATGCAGTTATTACAGTAAGTAGTTCTAGCAAAGGAAGAAAGCAAATCTGAACAAAAACAATGTTGGAGCAGGTGTTCTAGCTGTTGGAGAAAAGGTATGAGTGACATCACTCAATCACCTTGTTTCTCTAATAATAATATATTACTTTTTAGAGGCATTGCTTTTTTTGAAGCATTGCTTTTTTTCTGTGTGCCACCTTTTATAAATTTCACATCTAATATTTTCCCCCTTTGAGTGTGCCACAGCAGAAGCAAATTGTGTTTGCAGAAGGTGAGCCGGAGGAATGTTAATCCTGTTTGGAATAAAGCTCTTACCTAAGTTTATTTAGAAACCAACTTAACACTTAGCAAGACACTTCTGATATATTTTGCCTTTTACTTGAGTTTCTCAAATCCAAAACGTTGCATTTTAGAGCTTAGAGAAAATTTAAATGAAAACAAAAAAACCAATTTCTCATGTCCCTCAATTGAAAAATCTGAAAGGAAGAGTATCTGCATTAAATGATGTTATGCACATTTTAGTAGTAGACCAGACACAGACATCCATGTATCACATTTTCTTCCCATGTGGAAAGAGCACTGATTCAGGGGAATGCTTTCCCCTTATACCAATGGAGAGGAAAAGGGATTCTATTTTCTAGGTATCTTATTTAGTAAAATTAAGCAAAGCTGGATTTAAAGCCTTTAATGAAGACAATAGAATATGTTAAGTAACCAGCTAATATTCTGCTGAAAACCTGATAACCCTCAGGAGGCCTCACAGAGTCTATGATGGGACTGTGAGTCTCTTCCAACGTGTTTTTGATTTGGATAACTCCAAATCTACCCCATCCCCTTGCCATTTCAAGCAGCACTATCACAGTTCAGGCAATCAACAGACACCT